GATGGTCACGCCACAATCCCTTCTCCTCCATTCTCTTCTCGGGATCTTGGGCATGCACGCACACGTGCCCGGCGTGAGTTTAAGCCACTGGGTCCAGGACTTGAACCACGGTCGACTACGTGGGAGTCCAGCGACATAGCCATTGCTCTAACTGCTGGTCCCACACGTTGTGTTTTTAATCTGTCCGTTTTGGTTTTGACTGGTTGGGGCTGAGGACGGGGGAAGTGCTCCAATTATCTACATGCTTCTTAATTTTCCGTCCTCGGTTCAGTCTGCCAGAAGACACGCATCAGGGAGAGGGCGTTCCGAGCCTCTTAATTTTCCTTTTTGGCTGAGATGAGGGAAGGCAGTGGAGAGAAGGGTGAAGAGAGTGGTAATTTAGAAAAGATACTCAAGGAAAGACAGAAGAATCAAAACTCACCTTAAACTGCCCGATACTGTCAGGTGGGGTCTCTTCATCAAGTCAGAACCAGGCAGACATAAGTTCTGGTCCTGCCTTCACCACTGACGAGCTATGAGACCCTGTGCCTCCAATTCCTCATGTATAAAACAGAGCTCTTAGAAGAGGAGCTACATGGGGCCAGTAGTGGTGTGGTGGTTAGGGTGTGGGACTCCCACATGGTCGACCACAGTTCAAGTCCAGACCTGGCGGCTGACTTTCTCACAAGCCTTCTTTCTCTGTTTCTCTGGTGAGTGCATGTGCCCTATAGTAAATTAAAATCATCATCATCATAATAAATTTTTTTTAAAAGAGGAGCTACTTTGTGTGGGTGTTGGCATGTTAAATGAAAGGTACACATAAAACACCCTGCCCAGTTCTGAGTCCTGATCCTAACCCCATCTGTATGCAAAATGAGTCACACACTGTGACGAAAGTGTCCACTTTTTGGACACCAACCAATGGAGGCAACTGGGGCTTGCTAGATTTAGGTTAGTTCAAGGTCCCGTGGTGTTTTTCCGTTGTATCAGGGAAGGCATGCCGATATGTGGAACTGAATTTCTAGAAGCCAGCTCTGTCCCTTAATGCTAATACAGAGTGCAGAAAGCTAATTTCAGGGCCCTTCCTTCCATTAATTATCTCCCAGAATCCCTCAGCTTCCAAATATAATCCAATGTTTCATGACATTGAAATCTAGTCTCAGGAGCCCACTCTCAATGTCTCTCTGTCTTCGCTGGGTCTCTCTGCTGTACTGGACACTGAGGATCACTGTCTTCTAAAATCCCTTTCCTAGCTTGGCTTCTTGGTATTCCTAGATCCTGGTTTTCTACTACTTCATTTTGGTTTTATTCTTATAAAATATACATGACGAAATGTACCATCTTAATAATTTTAAAAATAATTATTTACTGAATTTTATTTATTCATTAATTTATTTTAATTTGACCAGACCAGCAGTTGGCGTAATGGCTATGTTGCTGGACTCCCATGTAGTTGACTGCGGTTCGAGTCCTGGATCTGGTGGCTTAAGCTCTCACCAGGCACGTGAGCATGCACACCCAAGATCCCAAGAGGAGAATAGAGGAGAAGGGATTGCAGCATGGCCATCCCCCGTGGGGGTTGACTTCTCGCTTTCTGTCTCTCTGTTTCTCTCTGTCTTTCTGGCAAGCACATGCACCCTATAGCAAAAATCTCTCCATAAATAAATAAATAAATATTTTAAAAAACAAAAAAAATTGACCAGAGAGGCAGAGAGAGAGAGGGAGAAAGTGAGAAAGCAAGCCACCAGGTCCAGGACTCTAACCGCGGTCAGCCACATGGGAATGTCCAGCGTCTTAACCATCATGCCACCTGCTGGTCCCAATAATTAAAAATATATCGTTAAATAATGTTAAGCACATTTACATTGTATGCAGCCGATCTCATACACTCATTCCATCTTCCCCAACTAAAACTCTGTATTCATTAAGAAATCGCTCATTTCCCTATTCGCCCCGTCTTTAGCAGCCACCACTCTACTTTCTGTCTCTGTGAATGTGATTATTCTACTTATCTCATAAGGGATCATAGAGTATTTGTGTGTGTGTGTGTGTGTGTGTGTGTGTGTGTGATTGACTTATTTCACTCAGCACAATGTCTTCAAGTTTCATCAATGTTGCAGCAGGCATTGGCACTTCTTCCCTTTTTATGGCTAAATACTATTCCTCCCCTTCCATGTTGACTGTTCTATCTTTCCTGGATTCTTTTCCTTTGCTTGTCCCTTAAATATTTTAGTATTTCAGAACTCAAATTTACAGCCCAGTTTTGTTTGTTTGTTTGTTTTTAGCAACATACACAGTGACCATCCCCAATATTATTCGTGCCCATGGTTCAAGTACCACCTGTGCAGTGATGACATTGATGACACTGGATTATGTCTGTAGCCCCACTGAGAGCCAGGCTGGCTGGAAGGCTTACAGGCAGCATGTTCAACCGCAAATTAACCTCTCTTCCTGCATTCCCTGTCTCAGTGAATGGTACCACCATCTATTAACTCTGTTGTCAAAATTAGAGGACAACAGCTTTTTACTTCCCTAGGGTCACTTTGACCTTATTTTTATACTCTTACTCTGATTTCTCTTGGGAAAACTGCCTTCTCCTTCACACTTAGTCCAAATGTTTCAAGTGGCCTTCTAACTCAGACACATGTGACAGAGTGATCTGATCCTTGGACACAGCACACCAGCCCCGGTGAACTTTATACACATTAATTCATTTGGTTCCTATGGCAACCCATAGTACAGACAGTACAGTTAGTACAGTAATTCCCAATTGACAGATGAGGAAATCGAGTCACAGAGCATGTATGTAACCTGGTCTAAGCTGCATGGCAAAGAAATGGCAGAGTCAGGATTCAGTCTCAGGCTCTGCTGGAAGATCAGTACCTGACCACTCCATTATACAGTGTGCTGTCTGTGACAATTATGCAGAGAATGAGGAGCCGAGGGCTGGTGAAGTGTCTTGCAAGACCCTGACCTAGACTGGAGCCATCTCCGAGAGGCCCCGCCTACGTGGTAGTGTTGGAACAGACCGGGTAATGAAAGCTGGACTACTTCAGCTCGGAGGTGCTGCTTTTGCCTTGTCCCCCAAAGGCAGCGTACTTCTTGTGCTGGGCAATGGGGTCCCTCTGGCTCCTGGCTCCTCCCAGCCTTGCTTGGTGAAGGGCAGACCACTTAGAGAGTCCACTGAACTGTACAAATAACCACCTGGGTCTCAGGACACAGCTTCGACCTTCCAGGGGATCGTCCTCCTTCCTTGGCCTGCCCCTCTTTGTTAGAGGATGAAGGGCTGGGGTTTGACAACAGCTTGCTCTCTGAGCTCAGGACTCCTACCTTCCTCCTGGAATGAAACCCACATTCCCTAAGGAAAGGATTCTCCCCATTGAGGAGGGGCCTTCTGTGTCTGATCACCTCTCCCTGGCTGTGGTCTACGGAAACGTGAGCCTGAAGCGACTCATGGGTCCCCGAGCTCTGCTCGTCCTCTGCCCCAGCCAGACCCTGGGCTGCTGGGAAAGCCACATCTTCTTTCTCCACAGTCAGTTTCTCTGTTTTGTTGGCCATGCTTCAAGCAGGAGCCCTAGCCTGGAAGGAGAGCTCCCATCACCCCACTTGGCCTTGCAGGGGAGCCCAGCCCGGCCCACAGGCTGACCAGTCTAGCAAGATTAGAACATAGGAGCAGGGGCCAGGAACGGCACTGCTGCTGGCCAGATGCCTGCCGAGGCTGCTGGCTCACTTGGCAGGGAGTGCAGGGCCAGAGCTGCCCTGAACTGGCTTCCCACTCCATGGCTCTGGTCCCCACCCTGGCTAGCCAGCAGTTGCTCCACCTCACCAGGAGGACCCTCAGGGCCGTGGTCCTGCCCTCCCTGCAGCCCAGCCACCCATTCTGCCCATAGCCAGCTCTCCTCCCCAGCATCTGCCCAGCCCTACCTGTTGGGAACACCACCAGATGGGCCTGGGTCTTCTGCTGCCTCCTCAAGCCTTCGTACTGAGCCCGCAGGAGCTGGATGCTGAGGGGGGGCCCTTTCCCTGGGGCCTGAGACCCGGAGCCTTCAGCCATGAAGAGAGACCCTAGCTGCCAGAAGTGGGGCAGAGCAGGGCACGGGCAGGGCAACCCCTTCATCCGTATCCGGGAGAAAAGCAAACACTGCTGGGTGGGGCAGGGGGAGGAAAGGGGGAAGACAGGGAGGGGGCAGAGGGGAGCTGGTGGGGCAAAAGGAGGGTAGAAGGGGAGTAGGAAGGTGGAACAATAAGGAGGGAGGGAGGCAAAGGAAAAGAAGGGTAGGGAGAGGGAGAAACTGGAAGGAGGAGAGAGGTGGGAGGTGAGGAAGAAAGAGAAGGGAAGGTAGAGGAAGGAGAGAGATGGGGAAGGAAAGAAAGGGGCTCTGAAGGAGGAAGAAAAGAGTGGAGGAAGGAGGGTAGTCCAAGGGGGGGCTAATGGGTGAGGAGGAAGGGGGTGAAGATGAGACAGGCAGGAGGACGTTGGGGAAGGAGGGGTTGGGGAGGAGTGAGGGAGGTGTGGAGGTGAGAATGGAGAAAAGGCAAGCACAGCTGCTCAGAGTCCTCTGGGAGCCCAGGAGGTGGCTTATTCCCAGTCCGTCACTGACTGATTCTAAAGTCTCCAGTTCTAAGAGCTGTGGTGGTCTCCCATCTCCCAGCAGAGCCGGAGCTGAGGCTGGGGAATGCCAGGCACCTGCTCAGCTCACACATCTTGGACTGGAAGCTGGAAAGTGGCTGTTCACCAGCAAACCTGTCGGTTTGGTTTGCAGTTGTGAAAAGGAACACCCCCAGCAGCCTCATAGAGCTGGTGCCCGGGGATGTGTGTGTTGCGCCGCAGCCATGCCCTTGGGAAGCTCTCCAAGGTCTCTCAGCCCTCAGCACACACCTCAGGCGAAAGCCCAACCCCAGAGTCAGCCTGTGGGACAGAACCCCCCAGGAGAGCCTTGGCCTCTGGCCAGCCTCACCCCATTGACATTTGAGGCGGCCTGTGTGGTCTCCTCATCTTCCAACCAAGCAGTTAAGTTGGGGTTTATCTTACCCACAGCTGGGAGCAGCCACACCCTCTGCTTGCCAATCCCACTCCCTCCACATCTGCACTGAATCCCAGACCTCTCTCCTGGACCAGTTCCAACCTATCCTTACTCCATTTGGTCAGCTAAGCCCCTTTCTGTCTTTTCCTGAACAAATGCTTCCAGATTACCCAGTTATTCAATATACACAGCAGTAAGTAGGTTAACCAGACAAGATGTAGTTACCAGGAGTGCAGGGTAAGTCTTCGCTGGGTAGTGTCTTAGTTTGCTGGAGCTGTAGTAACAAAGTGTCCTGAAGTAGGTGGCTTAAACAACAGACACTTGTCTCCACGTTCTGGAGACTGAAGTTCACGATCAAAGTGTCTGCAGGGCTGGTTCCATCTGTCGGTTTTAAGAGTCTGCTCCATGCCCTGTCACCCAGATTCTGGTGGTTTTCTGGCAATCTTTGATATTCCTTGGCTTGTAAAAGAATCACCAGATCTCTCCCTTAATCTTCACATGATGTTCTTCCTGTGTGTGTCTGTGTCCAAATTTCTCCTTTTTATAAGGACACCAGTCATATTGACTTATAGCCCAAGCTCATGATTGTATCTTCATATAATGCAATGATCCTATTTCCAAATAAAGCCATTCTGAGGTACTGGGCTTAGGATTCCAACATACTAATTTTTTGGGGGGGTATCCCATTCTGGGAGAGAGATGATAATTCCATTCACAAAAGCCATTCTGAGGTACTGGGCTTAGGATTCTAATATACTGATTTTTTTGGGGGGGTATCCCATTCTGGGATAGAGATGATAATTCCACTCACAAGATATCACAGGAGAGGAGCAGATTAGAAGTAGGGAGAGGGGAAGGGATTGGTTTTAGATATTACCGTTGAGGTGTCAGTTGCCTTTGGATGATCAGGAGGGAGTTGGAAGCTTGGCAGAGAGATCTGAGTTGGAAACATAGATGTCAACATTTGTGAAAATGATAACAGGTCATTATTGGAAAAGTTTTATCATTAGATATTCAGGAATATGTAGAATCAAGAGATGGCCCGAGGCCAGCCCTACTGCAGAGGTTAACTGCTGTACATAGGGACATGGGTCCCATTGGTTAATCTCAGTTCGAATCTCTGCGTTGATGGCTTGAAAAACACATCAGGCATATGTGTGTGCATGCCCCTAACCCCAATAGGATGCAGAAATGGAGGAGAAGGGATGGTGGCATGACAGTGCCCAATTGAGGGGTGCTTTCTTTCTCTGGTGAGAGATTGGTCCTCTGGCAATTGAAAAGAGAGAAAGAGGCCAAATAACTTTTTTTCTCTGTTTAGTTTCTTCATCTTATTGTCTTCTTGAAGTCTGTGTTCAGTGGGCAGTAGAGGGACTTCCTCTGTCGTCTTCTCTGCCGTCCCAGGTCCAACTTCTTTTTCCCAGTCCTTGGTACATTGTTGTGTTTTTACTATTGGAGGGGATGAATGGCTCAGGCTGGGTAAATCTTCTACAGGGCCACTTCTTTTTATTTTTAAATTGGCCAGAGGGTGCATGTGCTTGCTGGAGAGAAGAGAGGGGGAGAGGGAAAGTGAGAAAGCATCTCACATGGGGCATGGTCATACCACTATCCCTTCTTTTCCATCTCTCCCTCCTTTTGGGATTTGGGGCACATACACATACACACCTGTAGGTTTCACCAGTGGGTCCAGCATTCAAACTGCACAATTGGCTATGTGAGATCTGGCCACCTTAACCACCACACCACAGGCTGGTTCTAGATAGTTTTCTCCTCTTTATTTATTGTAATTTATGATCACATATAATCATTACACATTTTTGTGGGGCACAGGATGGTTTTTAAAGCATGTGTATGGTATGTAACAAGCAAATTGAGAATATAAACATATTTACCACCTTCAGCATTTAACATTATGTTACGTTGTAAACATTTGAAACCCACTCCAGTGGTTATTCTCCAAGTATGTACTGAATTGTCCATGATGTTCTTCACTGTGAGGTACATTTCTAAAGAAAAATATATTGATTAAAAATCCGGCAACCATAGTTCTCGTAACTTAACAACGATAATCTTAACATTTCCAGTGAAAGAAGAATTTGTAGTTTCTATGTAGAGGATTATGGGAGATAAGAGTTTATAATCTAAAAAAGTCGGTGAGTATCAATCATTGGTCCAGTTGGAGCTAGGTAAATCATGCATGACAGTAGCTCATTAGAAAGAGTTAGTAAGAACACATTTACTCACACACTGTGAGTTCTTATAAGACCATAATACTGTATTGTGCATAAAGAAATAAATCCTCAAGAAAGCAAAAATAAAACAAAATTGGAAAGAGATGTTTAAAAGTGAAGACATGGTAAAATCTGGTGATATGGTGATTTATAGGCTTTACAAAGTTCTTGGTTTTAGTCTTTTAACAATTCATTCTAAAGAAAGACTCAACTACTCATAACATTTTGTACTTTTCCTCTATTACCTAGTTTTTTACAATGAATAATAATTATAATAAATATATAAATTGAAATCTGTAGAGACAACTGTCTAATAAATAATTGACAAAGTTGTATTTAAACCTGCTTGTTTGTAAAATAGTTGAATCTGCATTTTGAATCTTTTAGTTGGGAAATTATTGAGTCCTGACATTCAGTGTTATTATCAATATGTGTGGCTCTATCTTTTTCTTCCTTTTGTGTTCCCTTACTTCTATTTATCTCCCTTTAGTTTTCCTGGTGTAGAAATCCCTTAAGTAATTCCTGAAGAGCCAGTTTTGTTTTAATGAATTCTTTCGGCATTTGTTTATTTGGGAATAATTTTATTTCTCTTTCCCATTTGAAGTATAATCTTGCTGGGTATAGTACTCTTTGCTGAAATCGCTTTTCTTTCAGAATTTTAAGTATGTCTTCTCAGTCTTTCCTTGTCTGCATTGTTTCAGTTGAGAGATCTGATGTTAGACTAATGGGGTAACCTTTGTAAGTCACTTGGTGTTTCTCTCCTGCCACTTTTAGAATGCTGTCCTTTGTCTTTGATTTTTACCAGTTTGGCTATGATCTGCCTTGGAAAGAATCTTCTTATATTATAGCTATTTGTTGTCTTTAGTATTGCCTGGATGTGGATGTCCACATGTCTCTCTACATTTGGAAAAATTTCAGGTATATATTATTGAGATTTTTCTATGCCCTTACCTATCTCTTCACCTCTCGTTTTCAACCTTCTAGATATACTCATGATTGAGACCCGTGGTCCCTGGGCCAGGTGCCTCCAACTGCAAACTGCTTCTCCATTTCCTCCAGTGGCCATCACAATAGTGTAATTTTCTGGATATGCCACAACGTGAACAAAGGAAGAAAGTTGCCTCAGATCTTTAGCCTTCTTTTGTTTTCTTGAATATTCTCAATGTCTTTTCTGCCTCAGAGCTTTGTATGTGCTATTCTCTCTCTTCTAGACTATTTGTTTACTTACCCTCACCTCCAACCCTATCTTAATTGCATACCCAAACATTGTAGCACTCACTTCTCTCCTACTTGACTTATAATTACCTTCAGTTTTTGGCCTAACAGAGGTAAACAAAAGGCTATTGCATGGACTGTGGAAACAGACTATGTGGATTTGTACCCTTCATTCCCTACCTTTAGCTGTGTGCCTTGGCGTGGTTACTTAACTTCACTGCACCTGCAGATACAGCAACTCTCAAAGATAATTGTCTGAGCAATTCTGAGCTGAATAAACAAGCAAAATAGGCTTAATAAGCATTACCTTTCAGGTACTAGGTACTATGGCACTGTTGCTCACGTGTGGTCTCATTTAATTCTCATGACAATTGTATGAGTTGGTGGTACAGCATTATCACCATCATCATTCTAGATGGTGAACTTGAAGCTCAGAATGGGTAAGTGGCTTAGCAACTCCAAATGCTCCTCATCTCTGAAGCACCAGTGTTCTATTTCAGTTATATACAATGTAATATAATGATAAAGATGCTCTTCCACTTACTTGGGAATTTCTTCCCAATAAACCCATCCTAAGTTGAAAATATCATTAAATCAAAGATGGATTTAATGTATCTAATCTCATAGCTTAGCCTAGCCTATTTTATTTTTTAAATAATTATTTTATTTCACTTTATTTATTTATTTATTTATTTTAATTTGACCAGAGAGGGACAGCAAGAGAAGGAAAGTGAGAAAGCAAGCTACCAAGCCCAGGACTCAAACCACGGTCACCCATGTGGGATTCCAGCACCTTTAACCACCAT